TCTTAGAATCTTAGAATCTTAGAATCTTAGAATCTTAGAATTTCAAAATCTCGGGATTTCAGAACCTCAGAATCTCAGAATCTCAGAATCTCAGAATCTCAGAATCTCAGAATCTTAGAATCTTAGAATCTCAAAATCTCGGGATTTCAGAAACTCTAATCTCAGAACCTCAGAATCTCAGAATCTCAGAATCTCAGAATCTCAGAATCTCAGAATCTCAGAATCTCAGAATCTCAGAATCTCAGAATCTCAGAATCTCAGAATCTCAGAATCTTAGAATCTTGGAATCTCAAAATCTCGGGATTTCAGAAACTCTAAACTCAGAATCTCAGAATCTCAGAATCTTAGAATCTTAGAATCTCAGAATCTCAGAATCTTAGAATCTTAGAATCTCAAAATCTCGGGATTTCAGAAACTCTAATCTCAGAACCTCAGAATCTCAGAATCTCAGAATTTCAGAATTTCAGAACCTCAGAATCTCTAAATCTCAGGATCCTAGAATCTCCGAATTTCAGAATCTCAGAATCTCAGAATCTTAGAATCTCAGAATCTTAGAAACTTAGAATCTTAGAATCTCAGAGTCTCAGAATCTCAGAGTCTCAGAATCTCAGAATCTCAGAATCTCAGAATCTCAGAATCTCAAAATCTCAGAATCTCAGAATCTCAGAATCATCAGAATCTCAGAATTTCAGAATCTCAGAATCTCAGAATCTCAGAATCTCAAAATCTCAGAATCTCAGAATCTCAGAATCATCAGAATCTCAGAATTTCAGAATCTCAGAATCTAGAATCTCAGAATCATCAGAATCTCAGAATCATCAGAATCTCAGAATCTCAGAATCATCAGAATCTCAGAATCTCAGAATCTCAGAATCTCAGAATCTCAGAATCATCAGAATCTCAGAATCTCAGAATCTCAGAATTTCAGAATCTCAGAATCTCAGAATCTCAGAATCTCAGAATCTCAGAATCATCAGAATCTCAGAATCTCAGAATCATCAGAATCTCAGAATCTCAGAATCTCAGAATCTCAGACTCCCAAAAATTCTCAAAATCCCAAAAATTCCAAAAATTTTCAGCGACTATGAATCCAAAAAGCGTCCCCAAATATCTTATTCAATTTTCATAATCTGGCAATTTCTAGCAATTTTAATTTCATTTGGAATTTGCTCAATGGTAATTAGTATTTATTATTGGTTACTTCTTGGAATTCTGGGAATGTTTGCGAATTGTTTGGTTAGTTAAAAAAAGATCAAAACATCAAAAATCGAAAATTGAAATTTTTTTGAAAAAATCAAAAAATTCAGAAAAGTTCAGTTTTAAAAGTTTTCAAAATTGACCGAGTTTTGAAAATCTGCTTATGGAGAATCTTGAAATCTCATAATTTCAGAATCTTAAACTTTCAGAATCAAAGGGTTTAAGATTTTTGGAATTCCAGAGTTTCGGAATATTAGAATATCAGAATTTGAGAATCTCAGACTCCTGCATTTCTGAATTTCGGAATTTCTGAAATTTTGAACTCCTGAAATTCTGAATTTCTGAGATTCTAACTTATTTTTGAATTTCTGAGTTTCTGAAAAACCAAAAAATCAAATTCGTCCAGGGATTATTCTACATTTGGTTCTGGAATATTCGGGTTTATCAAATTCTCGATAAATCCAAAATTCGACCATCAAAATACACATTACGGGCTAGATTTCAAGCCAAAGAGAACGTTCGAAGTTTTGCGGTAACTTCTGAAAAAGGATAACTGTAACTATAACATTTTTTGCAGTTCTCAAAATATGCATTCTTCTTTATCTCTTCGTGTTTGGTTTTCCGATATTCTTTGATTTTGCTTCAATCTTTTGATTTTTTACAAAAATATGAAATTATGCTAAATTATGTCATGGAATTTGGGGACGCTTCGTAAGTACAGTAATCCTTTTTTCGAAAATTAATCAATTTCTTCCAGACATCCCAATGTGATCGTACCAATAATCATGTTATCAGTACCCAGTTGGAAAAAAGAGTTTTTTGAAATTTTCAAATTTTTGCCGGGAATTCGAAAATTTGTATTGGGAAATTTGGAAATTGAAAACGGCGATTTGACGAAAAATTCGAAAAAACAAAATCAAAAAATCGAAACTGAAGAATATTTCAATCAATTTAAAATTGCTTGGGCTTGATTCTTATGCACTTTTCAACTTTTTTTTGAAATAAAATTTCAACTTTTTTCTATTTTCCTGATTTATGGGTTAACATGAATGATTTCACAATCCCAAAAACTTCAGAATCTCATATTAGAAATTCAGAAATTCAGAATCTCAGAAATTCAGAATCTCAGAAATTCAGAAATTCAGAAATTCAGAAATTCAGAAATTCAGAAATTCAGAAATTCAGAAATTCAGAAATTCAGAAATTCAGAAATTCAGAATCTCAGAATCTCAGAATCTCTGATTTTTAGAATTCCAGAATTTCCAAATTTCAGAATTCAAGAATCTCAGAATCTCAGAATCTCAGAATCTCAGAATCTCAAAAGCTCAAAATCTCAGAATCTCAGAATCTCAGAATCTCAGAATTTCAAAAAATCGAAATTTAACAAAACCACTTGATCACGAAAACTATAAACAAAAAACAGGTGAAATCATCAAGCACCCTCTAATTTCTTCACCTTTTCCATATTTTTTCTCCAACTTTTTTCTTTTTTTTTGAAAGTTTTTTTCTTCCACTTATGATATTCCTGGTGAATAATAACACTTATTTTTTTGCGGTATTTCTTATGAATTATAAAAAAGATTTCGGTGTTTTATCGATTTTTATGTTATTCATGGAATTTTCCGGATTCTTTTTGTCGGCTTTTTTGACGATTCGCGGATGTTGGGTGATTACTTCAACTCGAGCTTTTAATCGAAATTTGAATTTTATTTTGGCGGGAACTTTATTCCAATGGATGGAAAATATGATTGGAAGATTAATGATTGCGCCTTACCAAAAAGGATGGATACAGTTGGCGGGGAATGGTAAGTGGACATCTGGAAATTCGGAAACTCTGAAAAAATTTCTTGAAAATTTGAATTTTCGCACTTTCCATTGAGATTCCGAGATTCTGAAATTCTGAGATTCTGACATTCTGGAGATTTTGACACTCTGAAAAAAGTTGAAAAAATCCAAAAGGTTCTTTTTTATCGAAGGAAATTTTCTGAAATTTTGAAAATCTGGGATTCTGAAACCCTAAACTTCCAGGATCGAGATTCTGAGATTCTAAGTTTCGAAGATTTTGAGATTCTGAGATCCTAGAAATCCGGGATTCTAAGAATCAGAGAATCAGAGATTCTGAGATTCTGAGATTCTGAATATCTGATGTTTGGAAAATCTGTGCATTCAGAAAGTTTTTATAGATTTGACATTCTGAATTTCTCTTTTGCAAAGAAGGTCTTCATCAATTTTGAATTTTCGTTTTTTTTTTGAATTTTCAGATTTGTAGATTTTTTGGATTTTTTTGTATTTCTGATTTCTCTGAAATTTCATTTCAGGATCTTTGAATTCCTGAATTCTGAAATTTTGAATTACACATTTTCCATCAAATAAATAAAAAATTGAATTTTCCAGATCCAAAAAAAGTCTACTCGGAATTCTTCACCACCTCCAAATACGAAATGATTCAAATCAAAAATTCGTTATTCGATTCGCCATTTTTCTCGATTGGTTCCATTTTGTTGACTCATTATATGGTCTTCGCAATTTTGGGTCTTACAGGGATTACTGTAGAAAGAAGTTTGGCCACTTTTTGGATCAAGTGAGTGTGGCCTAGAAATCTAAAGCTCGGCCATCAAAGTTCATTGGGTTCCTATAGCCTCTAGGCCCAGAAATCTGATTTTCTAGTCCACCAAGCCCACCTTTTTTTTCAGCGACTACGAGAAAAAACCAAGAAATTGGATTCCAATTTTCGTCCTAACTACCCTACAATTAATTTCTTGGCTAATTGCCTACTCGGCAATTCAAATTTTACTGGATATTTATTCCTGGTTGATGATTGGAATTCTAGTATTGACTTTCAATTTTTTGGTAGGTCTGAAAATTTGAATTTTTTTTTTGAATTCTCTAACTTTCCAGCTAATGGGCTACATTTGGTACTGGAACGTTCAAGTACACAGAATTTTGGATAATTTCAAAATTATCCCCTCGAAATATACGTTACAAGCCAGATTTCAAGCGAAAGAAAATGCTAAAAGTTTAAGTGTGAGTTGACATCTGGACATTAGGACACAGAGAAAACATTGAAATGCAAGGTTGAAATTTCTGAATTTCTATATTTCTGAATTTCTGAATTTCTGAATTTCTGAATTCTTAATTTCTGTTTTCTGAATTTCTGAATTTCTGAATTTCTGAATTTCTGAATTTCTGAATTTCTAAATTTCTGAATTTCTGAATTTCTAAATTTCTAAATTTCTGAATTTCTAAATTTCTGAGATTCTGAGATTCTGAGATTTTGAGATTTTGGGATTCTGAGATTCTGAGATTCTGAGATTTTGAGATTCTGAGATTTTGAGATTCTGAGATTCCGAGATTCTGAGATTCTGAATTTCTGAATTTCTGAATTTCTGAATTTCTGAATTTCTGAATTTCTGAATTTCTGAATTTCTGAATTTCTGAATTTCTGAATTTCTGAATTCTTAATTTCTGTTTTCTGAATTTCTGAATTTCTGAATTTCTGAATTTCTGAATTTCTGAATTTCTGAATTTCTGAATTTCTGAATTTCTGAATTTCTGAATTTCTAAATTTCTGAATTTCTGAATTTCTAAATTTCTAAATTTCTGAATTTCTAAATTTCTGAGATTCTGAGATTCTGAGATTTTGAGATTTTGGGATTCTGAGATTCTGAGATTCTGAGATTTTGAGATTCTGAGATTTTGAGATTCTGAGATTCCGAGATTCTGAGATTCTGAATTTCTGAATTTCTGAATTTCTGAATTTCTGAATTTTTGAATTTCTGAATTTCTGAATTTCTGAATTTCTGAATTTCTGAATTTCTGAATTTCTGAATTTCTGAATTTCTGAATTTCTGAACTTCTGAATTTCTGAATTTCTGAATTTCTGAATTCTTAATTTCTGAATTCTTAATTTCTGAATTCTTAATTTCTGAATTCTTAATTTCTGTATACAAGGGCGCTTAATTTCTGTATACAAGGGCGCTTAATTTCTGTATACAAGGGCGCTTATTGAATAGAAAGCCTTGCAATTTGAATATTGAGTTAATTCGCTCTATTGACAAAAACTTTTGCAGTTTCTCAAGATTACTGTAGTCGTTATCAGCTCTGCTCTAATTTTCGAGTGCGTCTTTTTCATCCTCCAAGCTTCGAACGTTTTTCGGGATTATGAAGTGATACTGTATTATTTGGTGGATTACGGTAATATTTGGTAAAGATTCTAGGGTAGAGGATTCTAGGTCATTAAAAGAGTTTTCAGCCATCCATGCCTTATCATTCCTGTGGCAGTGTTATCGAATCCTTGTTGGAAGTCGAAGTTTTTTAACTTTTTTGGAAAATTCAAAAATTTTGAAAATATTGTTAAAGCTTCGCCGAACGTTGGTATTTCAAAAGATTCAAAAAACACAAAAATTGAAACAGATCAATACTTTAATCAATTGATTAATTCATGGGCTTGAAGATTTTTGAATGAATATTTTTTTGTTTTTTTTTATTCTTAAACCAAAAAGCTGGTGAGTTTTTTAACACTCTGATTGCTTTAGCTATTCTGGAAATCAATATTTTCAGATTGATTCCCGAAGATCCAAATATGCCAAGGAACGTTAGTTGAACTTCTTAAAACGCCTGATTCAAAAAATAAATTATTTTTTGGTTACTGTAGTTGTCGTTTATAGATTCAAATATCAGGAAAATCAAGATAAAATTCGGCTTGTTTCTTTTATTCTTAAAACTTTCAAAAATGATGTCAAATAATCACGTTCATTGAACAGGATAATTGAAGTTTCAAAAATATCCGAAAAAAGTTTTAGGGGGTTACTTTAGTTATCAATTAGGAATCTTAAATATTTAAAGTTTTTCCCAAGTTTTGAATTTTGTTTTTTTTACTTCATGTCATCAAACTAATATCTCTGTAAAAACTCAGATTCTCATAGTCAGTAAAAATATATGCAATCAAATGTTTTTTATTAAAACTTCAGTTTAAAACATTCTAAATAAAGTTAGCATAATTTTAATGAAACGTTGATTGTCCGAAGATACTGTAGAAGTCCAAAAATCTGCAAAACTTCGAATTTTCATACACTAGTAAATTTTTTGAAATTTTACCTTTCATCCGAATTGTTCAAAAAACCAAATGCATCTCAAGCTAGCTATGACGATTTTTCCAAGAAAATTTTCATTTTTGAACTGCCTAAAATCAAAGAACGGATTATTGTAGATTTTCAAATTCACTTACTATTAAATTGATGTTATTCAAAAACTCTTATAAACTGCTTTGAGCCTTCTGAATTTTTTCGATATTCATAAGAATCTTCTAGAAGAAAAATCTAGAGAAGGTCAGTGGAAATAACTGCCCTTAGTCGAAAATTTCATAAATCCACGCAAAATACACACGATTTTCCAACGTTCGTAATATCCACGATTTCACCTCCTCCCCTTTTGACACCCTGATTTAGTGATCTACTTTATTTTTGGATTTTTCTGGAAGATTCCTGTAAATATCGAAAAATTAGAAGTTTAAATCAGATTCTTGAGATTTTTCTCAAATATCAAAAATGAGCAAAGTCCCTATTTTCTTGAGGTTACTGTTAATGCATCACCTAATTACAATTGAGTAGAAAGAACTTGAGAATAAGAAGAACGTCTCCAGAAGACATCAGAAACAAAATTTAGAAGTATAAAATACTCGGGCATCATCTCGCGGCTATTTCGGGTTAGCTGTGAAAATTTGGGAAAATTTGGTTTATTCTGGACTTCGATAGGGCAGGTGACCCGGGAACACCGGACACACACACACACACACTCACACACAGAATTTGGTGATTGTTAATAATAAAGATACGTTTTGAAGCGTTGAAAAAATGTGGAAGCGTGGTCGAATGGTTAGTGAGGAGCAGTGTGCCTTATCGATAAATGATTTGTCGACAAACGCCCTTTTCGACATATTTATCGACAAATTGTCGATAAAAACAACATTTATCGACAATTTGTCGATAAATTTGTCGATAAAAATGCTGTTTGTCGACAATTTATCGACAAATTTATCGACAAATTGTCGACAAAAATTGCTATTAACCGCAGGAATTACTTGTGAAAAATCGTATCGTTACCATTTTTTCCTAGGACTTCTAGAATGATGGAAGAACTTACCCAGGCAAACTTTATAGTCTATCTGGCTTGGTGGCCCAACTTTCACAACATGAATTTTCTAGGCCACGATTCTTTTTAGCCTAGAAATGTTGTTTGGTGTGTTTTTATATTAACATGGTGGNTCAAAGATTTGGAGTTGAGTTCTTTTTGAAGTGCCGGTCCATTGGTGATACGGGAAAGGGACTCAAACTTTTCAATGATGACGTGGAGTGCATTGGTTGGATTGTCTGAAAAAATTTATAATTTTTTTTGAAATATTGAGAATTCTGGAAATCCCGAAAAATCAGAAATCAAACTCACTTTTAGCCGAAGCGTTTGGAGTTACTGTTAACAGTAAACTCAAGAAAATAAGAGTTTTCCTCATTGTTTGATATTTGAGGGAAATCTCAAAGATATGATTCAATCTTCTGATTCTTTCGGTATTTATAGGGATCTTCCAGGAGGATCTTAATATAGAGTAGATCACTAAATCA